CATAACAGAGCATGAAAAGTGCTAAGTTATCACAAGAAAATGAAAAACTTGTCAGAGCTACAATTGAACAAGTTAAATCTTCCATCTAAGTGAGAACAACTTAAGGAAACATGAAAGACTATTCCAGTGTTATTTCCATTGATACTAAAATTTCAACAATTCAGATGAAAAGAGGCAGATATAGCATCTATAGTCTGAAAACAGAAAAAGGAAGGAAAACTTTGAAATTAGAAGGAGAACAAGAAGTGCCAGCCAAAGTGCATTTTCTTCATGGGTCAGTTTTTTCCGTCTTCTTGTAGGAGGCAGAGAAATTCAAAGAGAGTTTTTCCCAAATATAACCAGGCTATTTTGACATGATATTTTAACCAGAAAGTCCATAGCATTATCCCCATTCATGCTCTTTTGCTGGATCAAGAGTCTTTCATACTTATTGTTATGGACCAGTTTTGTAATGTCTTTAAAATTAAATCAAAAAGATCATCTAAGTATATGGCTTTCCTCTCCCTTAAAAATCTCTCACTCGGTAACTATCTACTTTGATTGGTTTGTGGGATTTATATTATGCCAATGAATAGTAATTGTAATATTAATTGTTTCCTTATAAGGAAGTATTTGGCATTTGTTGACCGAACAGCGTGTACTACTTTTGGTTTAAATTTATAGAATATTTTTCTTAAAACATTTTTTTATGAAAACAGTTTTGTCAAGTCCAGTAAAAAAAAAAAAAAAAAACTCCATATATTACACTTTTCAGGGAACATTGAACTGAACACATTATTTAATCCATGAGTGTAGATTGTTCTCATTGCAATCTCTATATCAAGTGATATCTCAGCCTTTTCTTATTTTAGTATTTTATCTAAATCTTCATCATTGCTTATATATTTGGTTTATGCATCCTTCTGTAGAACCATGTTTCTGTTGCTTCATATTTCTTGATCTTTGAGGAAATTGTCCAGCGTTCACTGCCAAATAGGAGGACAGATATTTTCATTGTTTCAAATAAAGTTTGTCTCTTAATACCCCAGATCTCAGTGTTACATATTCTATCCTCTGCTAGAACACTTCCCAGATATTTAAATTTTTATACTTGTTTGAGTTTAGTACCCCCAATTTGTAATTTGCATTTTGGGCTCATCTTTTGCTAACAATCATACATTCTGTCTTCTTACAATTGGTGATTAGTCCTTTCTTCTTGCTTTCCTTCGCTACCTTTAGAAGCTTTTGTAGTTTCCTTTGTGTCTGATATCAACACTGTGTCATCTGCATATCTTATGTTAAGATTGTGGCCACTAACAACAAATCACAGCAGAATCTCTAATTCTCTCAGAATTGCCTCGCCCAGCTGGAGAAACTTTAAACAAGAAATTCTGGATCAAAGCTAGAAATGTGCACAGATATATAAAGGCAGAATCTTCCATTAACACCAATCATATGTAACAACTGGGTCTTTCATCTGTCAGTTTTACAGTTTACCCATCTTGAAAATCAGAATTCAAAATCTAATATTTAGAATTTCTTCATCAGCTGAAACTTAACAGTGCCATCATCAAAATTTATGAATTCAGAATATTTTGGTAAGTTTTGTTTTTGGAGATGAGAAATTGTCAATATATTTTGACTTATTTGAACTCTTGTTCTCATATTTGATTGCTAGAGATGTTATTATAGTCACAATAGTCATCATCAGCTGTATATTATTTTGTATGATAGAGAATATCCTGTATGTACTGATTATTTTTGTCTGTGTCTCAAGTTTTTATTGTACATTTTAATTTCTGTTTTTATAACAAATCCCGTTACATGTCTATAACATCTACAAGAATGAAAGATAAGAATTTAAATAGATCAAAGTATATTCTAAGCATTTCACTTAAATACAAAGAGGACAAATGAAGCATAGTAACATTTTTTTCTGCTTATAAATACAAGAAAAAGAAAAGACTATAGGGAATTAATAAGGAGTGCCAGAGAAAAAAAAAGCAATAATAACAACAAAAATTGCAATATGAGATCTGGTAGAAACATGGAATGATAACAGCAAAAAATTGCAATATGAGCACTGGTAAAAATGGTTGCTGAGACATTAGGTTTAGAATACCCAGAAATTCATACACAGATGTCCTCAATGTGACACATGGCACAGTGGATAAAGGTGTTGGTTAGATCCAGTGACAGGACCCAAAGAGTGTGAGTTCAATACCCAATTAAGGCAGTGGAGAATTAACAGGAGATAACTGACATCCATTAAAAACATGGCATGTGGAACTAGAACTGTCTACCCCAGTGTTCAGTTTGACATTCCAAATAATTCATAATAAATATGGTGACAATAATGTATATAGTGTAACCAATTATATTTGCTGTCCCCTAGTAAGGGATCCCAGAGTCATAAAACTTCAGAAACCCTCACAGGGTTATTTGGAAAACATATCAAAATAGAAATCCTGGTTTTTATTCTATTTTGGCAGTACATTATCCAAAATTCCTCAGGTAGGTTCCATATTAAATAATCTTCAAAAGCCTTTATTTTATTCAGAGACAATATCATTTATTTTTATTCACCTTCCATGAAATATAAATTCCTTGTTGCCCATCTCTCCTCATGATGCTATACTATACCAATACAGTACTGGCCCACCCTGAGATTTGAACTTACAACTCCAAGAAACAAGATGAAATTTGCTTTAAGAATAAGTTCCCCTACCCCCACTTGAGGTAAGTTTTGAAAAATAAAATTTCTTCCTTAGCAAAAAAAATGTGGAGGCAGAAAATTAAGAGACACTCATGTTCCAACCAATTCCTTTTGGAGTCCGTCAATTCCTCATAACCACTGCATTCTTCAAATCAATCACTGATTTGAAGTGCAATAATTCACCTTGAATGCTGTTTTCTGTTGGTTACAGCTGAGTGGTTAGCAAATGTCACATTTCTGCCAAGGATACACCCCATTGCCAAATAGGTAAAACAAATTAGTTGATAAATCCAAGGAAATGAGTAATTATGTTTGAGCAACGGCAAAAAGCCAAAATTTCAAGCACCAATTCCTTATGGCTGCCAAACCCTCTCCATTTGGCAGATTCACATAACAATCTTCCAAACAACTTTGTGCTGTTCTAAGCCACATTAACCAAATATCAACATACCTTTGCTTTTCACCCACAACCAGTTTCAAATCTTTTACATGAACATGTATTTTGGTTTGATATTTTCAGGTAAATTGTAAATCTTCAAGGTGTTATTTTTCAGACTATATTCATTGTTAATTTTTCCACAATTTGGATTGTTTATTTTAATATCATCAGGTAAAATTTTTCTCAGTGCAAAATATGCTGTTAGCTCATTATATTAGCCAGTCAATGCCACAGGTTGGTTTTTCACCTTTTTGTAGGAAATCTACATTGCACTGTGTGCAAAAGCTGGAGGTTGATGTGATAAGTACTGACACCAAAAAAATAGATTCATAGCTTTTACCAATTTCTGAACATTTAGGTTTTAATATTGTCTCAAAAAATATACAGAAATCCCTAATTCCTGCAGGTTTTTGCTTACAAACTGACTTCAAAATTTTATTATTTGAAGAATAAATCCAAATAAAGGTGATATTTTTATATTAGACACATTGAAAGAAAAATATAATCAAACTAGAATTCTAATTATGAATCACCATAAGTGAAATATGCAATTTTTTTACTGTATTTAATAAGTGTAAAAATTACAAAAAAGGCTACTCAATGAATAAGATTTGTCAGATCATAATAAATAACAATAATAAAAAAGTGTATATAACAGCATAATACTGCTGAGCACAAATTGAGACAAAATCTCACTAAAACTACTTTGCAGAATATTACATCATAATATAGCTAACTTGTTCCGTATAATTCCCTTATGAAATAAATGAAGGTCTTATTTGATGGCATAATGATTTAGTAATAATGTCCTTGTGCCATGCATCATGTCCATATACCATTTGTAAAACTTCAGTAAATTATAAATTTTATAAGGCTTTCGCTGATCACCAGAAAGAAATTCAATTCCAAAACTACGATTTTGAACCTAAACTTAATCTTTAGTTCCCTCAAAAAATGGTAACGATTTGGAAAAAAATATTTTGTGTCGTTATTTATCATCTCAAACCCCAACTTTCAAATTGAGTGCAATACCATGGTTCCAAAATCGACCTGCCCTAATGTCACCTTATCTTTTCATGACCATGTTTAAGAAAAAATATTCAGATGGATGTGATGAAAGCATTATTCAAATGAGTAAACATTTTTAATTTTGGAACAAAAAAAAAAAAAAAAAAAAATCTCCAATTTTATTTGTAGTGAAGTTGGTTCAAAGACCATGAATCCACTGGGTTGTACATAAAAAAACAGGCTTTGTATCTTTATAATATATTCAAGTAAAATATATCACTTGAAGTTTTTTGTAGCATAGTTTTCTTTTTTTTTTTTTTTAAATTGCAGAAAACAAATATTAAAGAATCTACTTAATTCAAATTTATTTAAAAGATTAATTGAAAATTATAAAATCTGAGGAAATCCTGTGATTCTCTCAAGAAAAAGAAAAAAAGAAAAAAAAAAGGCTGCCATATATTGAGGCACTTTTTGCCTACATCAGAAATACAGAAAATATATAAACACATTTCAGAGATACTTGAGAAGTTCTCCTTTTGTAAGACTTTGTGGTAATGAGTATCACCAACCAGTCTCTTTAGATCAAATATAAGAACTTGGAGTTACCTGTCCTTTGCTCTGCCACTGAGCACTAAATCTATAATACTTTGCATTTGAACTGTTGTTACATTTAAGAAGAAAATGATTATGAAATAAAATAATATACAAGTTTTCACTATTATTTAAAATCATGTTTTTTTAATATTTATTTACTTTACTTATAAAAAAAGAAAGTCCTCTTCATTTTGATTCTGGAGAAGAAAAGAAAAAAAAAAACAAAAAACAACGACAAATTTATTTACAAATAAAGTTCAATTTTTAATGTTTTTGCTTTTTTTGTTTGTTGCGTTTCTTTTTCTTTCTCAAGATTTTGTTGTATTGTTTTATCGAATGATCAGCTTTGGTGATCAGCTTCTTCAATTGCTCCTCCTACAAATAAAAGGAAAATAATAATCAAAGGAAAGTTCTTTATTCACAAATGACCTTGTACCAGACATGATAAAACATACTAAATAACTTTTCTAAAAGTGATTATAATCTTCAGTAAAATGTATAAAATGGCGGGGGGTGGGGGGATGCTAAAAAGTTCTTTGCCTGACCCATTCACCAAAATCTGACCAAAATGTGTTGATGACTTTTTTCAGATTCTGTAGACAATTATATATGATAACAACAAAGATTGTGCTTAAAATAAAACAGCTGAGCAATGGATTTCTGGGGGATAACACTTAATAAAACAGTCTTTGTAATTAAAGTGCTCAATATTAAAAAAGAGAACATTAATAGCAACAAATAAAAATTAAATGTTCAACTTATCTTCTTGACTTGAAGTTTCACAGATATGGTATCCACTTGTCGGGGATTTTGACAGTAAAATTGAATTTATTTAGAGAAATCACACTTTTCTTTAAAAAAAAAAAAAACTTAATTTCATCTAAAAAGACGCTAATTTTTTTTTACATCAACGTATTTCAAATTTGTTACTTGCATTATTTACATTATTCGGACTGCTATCCTCATCTTCATTGCCATAATCACATCATTTATATGCTCTAGCCTTCTTCAGGTGATTGGATTTTCAAACCAATTTCCACCGGAGTAGATTGTTCTAGTTCCATGTGCTATGCTTCTTTCGGATGTCTCAGTTATTTCCCTTTAATTCAATTCTCCAAGATTCTGCTGTGGCCTGATATTGAACTCACAACTCGTTGGGTCTAGTCACTGGATCTAACCAACGCCTTTATCCACTGGACCATGTCTCCTTGTGAATATGGCAATGAAGATAAGGAGAACAATCTGAATAATGCAAGTAATCATAATACCTCATCTCAGAGATATAGACAGATTTTAAATTTGTTCTTTCTTAAAGACATTATTGCCTGTGGTAATCTAATTTGAAATTGCTTGATTTTTTTTTATGCACACATTCCTATCCATAATGGAAAAAGTTTAAATAAAAATGAAAAATTGTTAATCTTGTGAAAGGTTTTATTTATAGTTTATTTGATATTAAATCTGACTTCTCTAAATATTTGCTCAAGATTTTCATTCTATTTATATTATTGCAATATTTAAAATCCTGCTTGGTTTGATTGAGCATAATCATTATTATCATAAATTTTTAATCTTGTCTTATATAACAAAGCAGGTGTTTGTTAATATGTTTACATTTGCCTAGGAATTTATCTTTTTTTTTTTATTTAACAATCTATTTTGATTTTTGAAACTGATTATTTGTAGTTTTTCTTCCAAGCATAATCAACAGTTTTTGCTTAGCATGACAAAGAGGTGGCTTTTCATGAATTCCAATTATAAACTTCCACTATATTTTCAATACCAAAGGTTTAAAATTAATTTTTTAAAAAATGAAAAAACATTTCTTGAAGCTTTCTTTTTAGCTCCAATTGAAAGCTAAATTATTAAATTAGTATTTCCAGTAAGCAAAATACATTGGTGTATTTCAAATAGATATTATATTGATTGGAATCTCAACATTTTGGTCACTTTCACAAAATCGGCCATCTTGATACATTTGTAAACAAAAGTTAACTCTCGGTTTTAAAAATTTTCAAAAAATTAAAATATACTTTTCTGAAACATTATTTGAGAAATATTATCTGATTTAAAGTATAATTAATCAGATTTGAAACAAATATTATTTACTTAAGTTGAAAATAACAGAAATGGATTTTTAAAACAAACAGTAGTAGTGATTATGTACTTATCATCGCTTGTCAATCATGTAACCACTGCTGATAAAGGTGTTGACAGTTTTATTGTTATTCTAGAAAACTTTATTTGTTAAAAGACAATTTAAGAAAATGAGAGGTGAGTCCCTTTTTATATAATTTTTAAGTCCTCAGTAATCTTAAAAAAATGTTGGAAAATATTCCGTAATCTAATTTAAAGAATGCTATATCACTATAGTCATTGCTCTTATTTTCTGATAATGTTGTGTATGGTTGACCATACTTTCAAACAGGTACATTACGTTTAAAAAAAAAAAAAAAAAAAAAAAAAAAAGAAAAAAAAAAGATTAAAAATTATTTTAAAAATCTTGAAGCAAAATAGTTTGTATTAAGTTTTTCAATTTTTGATTTGTAAATATATTTTTCAGTTAATAACAATAACACTTAACCAGACTGAAGTAATGCAGAATTACAATTTTCTTTCTGAACAGTTCTTTTAAATCAATTAAGAAGAGGAATATATCTTGGTAAAACCATTTTTTTTATTCCAAGATCATCCATTAAGTAGGATCCCTGATTTTGTTTTTTTTTTTACTAATAGTAATACTAACCAGAAGTCCATGGTTAGTAATTAAAATAAAATTTCTAGTCCCTAATTTTTACATTTCTAGAAAGATAAAACAGAAACTCATTGCTTAAAAAACAAAAATGTTTAAAGATTTCAACACATGAAAAATTTTCCCCAAAACTGAAATACTGTTTTTAAAACGAATTTTTAAGGCAATCCTGTTTGTGTTGTGTTGGAATCTTTGTAAAACTTTTTTTCAGCAAAGATGCTTGAAGATTAATCTTTATGAAAATGTAAAAATTTGTGACAAACATATTTTTATTTTTTTGGGGGGGGAGTAAAATTTAGTCATGAAAATATTGGTGGTTATTACAAAAAGAATAACAGTTTCTCGGATTTTTTTAAATAAAAAGAAAATTATTCATTATAAAAGTAAATAATTAATGAATATGTACTGAAATTTTCATTTTTGGTAATTTAAAAAAGTTTTGCCCTTCTCCCCAAATTTTCCTTTTAGGGTTTGTTCACCCCCACAAAACTTTGTAATCAACATGCAAGTGTAGTCTGGCTGTTCAGTTCTAGAATAGAACTGTTGTATGTAGGAGAGAATATATATTTTATTCTTAAATTCCATAGCATTCAGTTTCTATGGAAATGACTCAAAACCAGATATTCACAAAGAAAAATGTCCGAGTTTAATTTTAACAGAATAGATATGTTACAAAAATGTTAAATTGAATTCAAATTTCAGTTATCTTAAAACTGGTAAAATTTAAAAATGAATTCACTTTGGAAAGAATTAAAAAGTTTATATACATAACTAATAAAAAGTGCTGAGGAAATGTTAAAGAGACTTTTAAGATTTCCCTAACATTATATAAATGATTAAAAATACTAAGCCTCCAGCAGGATTTGAACTTGTATTCTTTATCCTTTGGCCTAAAGTGCTGCCCTGGTAATGCAGCCTTCCAAAGATATAAGATGCAAGTTCAAGTCTTAATGGAGGCAAAGCTAATTTTGTGCTTTCAATTCAGGTTGCTTGCTTAAGTCATAAAAGAACAGTTTGAGAATTGCTATAAAAAGCAAGAGAAGCTAATTTGAAAGAAAAACAAGTAAAAAATTATTAAGAACAACAATTTCTATCAATCATTTTTAAATCCAAATATTGAAAAAAGTAAAAAAAAATAAAATAAATCTTACTCTGTTAATGTTTTCATTTCTTTTGTCTTTTTCTTTCTTTTCTTTCTCTGTTCTTTTTCTTGCTGTTAATAATTTGTAATTCTCACAACGTTTCACTTTTGGGGGCTGAAAAATTTTTTAAAAAAAAAAGAAAAAAAAAAAAAAGAAGGTTAACATTTATCATTGGCTGAAGATATTTGAAAACAAAACAACAAAGAAAATAAAAACAAAAAACAAAGAAATTTAAAATAAACTGAAAAGAATTTTTGAAGAAAAAATATGAAATGAATAAAAAAAAAAATATGAAAATTTGAGAAGCTTGAGGTGGACAACCTTTAACCCTTTAACATTCAACATGCTCAACCCCCAAGTCTCACTTCATGACTTCTTGTGTTATTTGCAATGGTTCATGTTATTGCAGAGTATACATGGGTTAGATTACGGCAGGTTGAACATTCAAGAGTTGATATTTACAAGGGCAGCTTGAATGCTAAAGAGTCAAAGTTTCACTACAATTGTGAAATGCAACATCTAAATAAAAAAAAAAATCTATATATGGAATAATGTAACATTTCCTGTTATATCTGTTTTTTTTTTTCACAGGCACTCTTAGGCATCACAAAAGGGGGTCTTAATAATTAGGAGGGAAGAATCTTAATATGCAATAAATGGAGGGAGTCTTAATAAAAGCGGGGTAAGAAAATCATTTAATGAAATTAATAAATGGGGCAATGTTAATAAATTCTGGAGGGCTTAGAAAATTTCCTTAAAAAAAAAAAAAAAAAAAAAAAAAAAAATATATATATATATATTTCAAAACAAAAAAATACAGACAGAGATCTTGACAAACCATAAAAAAATGATGTAGGCTTCAAACAAGTTAAAAATCATTATAAAGATAATGTCAAATAATAATATAGTATTGAAGTAAAAGAAAGATAATGCTAATAGAATCAATAATTCTTATATCAGTGCAGCCTAAACATTGGTAAAATTTTGTTTTCAAAAACAAAATTGTAAAAATATGACACAGAAGGGCAAATTAGGTCAACCATATAAGTTTCATTTCAACAGTTAATACGTTGCACCTTCTTTCTTATACTTCATAGTACAACAGAGATGAAGTTAATTCTTACAGTAGTACATCAATTATTAAAAAAAAACAAAAAAAACTATATTTACACCATATAAAAAAAGCAACCAGAAGCACAATTTGGCAGTAGGGCAAAAACAGGTTAAAAGTATAACATACTAAACTTCCCATAAAAAAAAAAAAGTATCCGTTGGAGGTACATGCCTGTAATTAATTTTCAATTGAGGAATTCAACAAAACATTTCTTTTTGCTGTAATATCAATACTTTTTGTAATAGATCAGGGTTTCCTAACCTGGGCAGTATCACCTACGAGTAGACAATTTCAACTGTTGGGTGGGTGGGTGAGTGAAAATTTTGGTGTGCAGTATAAGATTTTGAGTATTAAAAATATATCAACAGATGTTAACTGGAAAAAAAATGTTCAAAGGAGATCTGCATAGAACCTTAATAAAAAGACAAAAAAAAAAACAAGAGGCTAAATGAGAATAATTGGGTCACATTCATAGATAAGATAGAAATCTCCCTGCAAACAACAAATATTTTGGTATTTTCTATAATTTTGAGAAGAATCATTAACATTGAAATAGTTCTTCAGACGAAAGAACATTTTTTTTTAGATATAAGTCAGATAAGAGAAGACAAAGAACAGCAAAAAAAATATTCACTGAATTTTTATTTCTTTTTTAATTTTATAATTATCAACAAAATAAAATCTGTTTTGCAAAAGAAAAACAAATGTTTTATAATTATGCTTTAAACTTATTCAGTTTTCAAACCTGTTAGAAAAACCTTTCTGAACATTGTGAAGGGTTCTCCTGCACTTCCTCTTCTAATGGTGATTTGCTGATTGAATTTCCTTATAAGCTTCAAATATGGCTAATATTTCTGGAACACTCCATATCCAACCATTACTTGAAACTGGCATTGCATCAAAGTCCCATTTGAAGACAAATGGTGATTCCACTTGTACAATATCATCTGACAAAGGCTATTGGAAATAATCCTTTCTGCTCTTTGTTGGAGCTAAAACCTTTACCACAGCACTGAATAAAGATGTAATATTAATGACTTGGTCACTGTAAAAGTTGGCATCATAATATACTGTAACCCATTAGCCTTGGTGCTTGTAACTTAAGGTCACCTGAGATGGTTCTTCTTCATCACAACTGCTAGAGTTGTCTAAATGCTCTAGCAGTTGTGATGAAGAAGAAATACTGAATACCTTTTCTTCTTTGCTTTGTCTTAGATGTGGAGATGAATCAACTGATTTTCCTGTCATCAAATAGTTACTGAGATTTACTTCCACTAGTGTTGATCTTGACACCCAAGAGAACCTTCAGATATCCAACTGATCTTTCAGTGCTTCCAAAACCTCTGCTTGTTGTATATCTTTAATAGACTTCACAGAACCACCATGCTTGATGACCGAGTTAATGATCTTTCTTGGCAGCAGCTTGACACCCCCCACTTCTTTTTATCTCTCATCTTTAGAAATCCTTTACATGAAGTGAAGTTGTTTCTCTGCTGCCAGAACCAGGGGGACAGCAGCAATAGAGACCAACAAAACAAAGCAAATAAAACAGACACATCCATGGCAGAGGCGACGAAGAATTCCTCACTGGAATGGCACAAAATGAAGGTCAAATTTAACCAGGACACTGAAAGTGACAATGAACAAAAAGGAAATCAGAATCACGATGTTACACACAATAGTAATACTGGTGACTCACTGACTGACTAAACAGAAAATCGGTCTGTTTATATCGAGCCCAGAAACATTGGTAATCTTATTATGCATGACACAAATCATATGCATAAACAAATTCTAGGCACTGTTCAGCACACCGCTGTAACCATAATTTTTGCAAGTGGACATTCTTGGGTTCTCTCCAGCCATCCTCTTCTGTATATGCAGCACACCAAATGTTATAGGTGTTTTCTGATCGACCCTCTTTGCTGGGGACAAACAACCAAGAGACAAAAAATTAACAACGCATGAGATCACCATAGTTTTCAAACTTCTGTTTATACATGAAGTTTTTTTTTTTTTTTTAATTTTTCCTTTTTAGAACATTCTAAATTTTGATTAAAAAACCTTGTTTATCTATCATGTTTAACATATACAATTTTTGAAATGCCAAGAACTGATTGCTTTCAGTGAGTGATAATTTTTCCATTACCAAACTTTATTTACATCTGAAATTTTGGCACAGAAACAATATATTTTTTAATGCCTGTCTTTTGAAAATATTAAATAAACATATTTTTTTTTAAATAAACATTATAATTTCCTTGTTTTTTTGATTTTCTTAAAATAAGTTTTGAAAAAATTATAATTGATTTTCAAAAAATTTTCAAACTGAGATAACATTTTTTATATAAATGTAAAAAAAATGATTGACAGGATTGATTATCTGTCAATTTTTCTAACTAAAAAAAAATTTTTAACGAAAATTTTGGACGTACTAGGAATGATTAAATAATTTGTTCACTTAAATCTAAAAATGTAGAAAAAAAAAAAAAAAAATACCCCCCAAAAAATACTTTGATCTTTTCCTGCCTGTTTCAAAAATTTTAAATAAACAAACATTTTCTTAAAATAAAGTTTGAAAAAATTAAATTGATTTTTGTTTTTGACAGGATTTTATCTGTCAATTTTTCTAACTATTTTTAACGAAAAATTTTGGACATGCTATGCTAACAAACATTTTAGTTTTGTTTTTCGTCAAGTTTGGCGTCTAAATGCTCTTTTTCTTATGTCACCTGAGCTCCAAGTTCAACAAGATAAGAAATCATTGCCTGGCGTTTTTCTGCTCCTTTATAAGCACCCAAGGACAATTTCTGAACCTCAAATTTTGCTTTTGAAAAACTAAAATCTGGTTTGTTGTTTTTGCCTTTTGCAGAACTTTTATTCTGTTTCTGGAATTTCTCATTCTTCTTAAATGGTTTCTTTGTTGATTCCTGAAAAAAAGAAAAAACATAAGCAAATCCAACCTAATGAAAACTTATTTTAAGTATTATTGATGTCTCTATATAGACAGATACAGTTAAATTCAGTGCTACTGACTGTATTTGAACTAATATATATATATATATATATATATATATATATAAATACAATATGGTAAATCCGTATGGAATTTTCAGGATATCAGAGAGAGCGCTATGTCAAGAGACAAAGCAAAATTATTATTAATTAAAATTAAAGAATATCAAACATCCCATAGGTAATAATTTTTATTTCATGAGAGCTCTAAAAATACAGCAGCCCTCAATCTTCAAGACATGCAAACAAAATGTTTTTTTTTTATGAAAAAATGTCCCAAACTTATAAACAAATCCTTATCAAAATCATTATTTAAAAGGATCAAATATACATCAGAATCTAACAGAATGATATGCAATTATTATTAATTAACTGAATTTTAATCTGAAATGATAAGATAAAGAACAAATAGGAAACCTTTATCAATGTTTGTAATAATTTAGAATTTTATATTTTAGTGCATTTTTTCAAAAGTAAATTAAATTTTCCATTAATTGCCTTGTGCAGTGTTTTAGTTTGCAAAATTTGTATAGTTTTTTTATATTTTTGAATTTAAATAACGACAAACTAAAAAAAAAATGGTAAATTTGCTTTTAACACCCGCGCTAAATATCTCTTAAAATTTTCCCAAATCGTCATAAAATTCCTGTAAAAAAAAAAAAACATAAATTCAAGCTTACTAATTTTCGTTTTGCTGGATCTCTAAAAACCACGACTTCAGGTTCAAATTTAAGAGGTTTTTTCGACGAAGCCATACTTTCTCTGCATGCTTCACGTTGACCGGAAGTTAAAGAGATGAAGTCAACTTCGCTGTCAATTCACGAATTCAATTACAACAAAAAAATTAACTTTTCGACATCGGATTAAAAAAAAATTCTAAAATATCCATTACATTTATTGATTAATATAGATTTTTGTCCCTCTTGTGGTTTTCTTCCCGACCAATTTTTTTTCTACTTCTGCTGTGTTAATTTTTATTTTATTTTATTTTTTTACCCCTAAAAGCTGCTCTCGCCAATTTTTTTTCAACGTTTCAATTTTTTACATAAAACAGATTTATCCCATTTACATCTTACCTAAAATTCTTGAACTAGACTCATATTATGAATCTTCCTTTGTCCTATAAAAAATAAAAAGCCATGCTTTCGAAATAAAACGAAAAATATGATTCAAAATGTAATCAAATTTCTTTCAACTATATTTACCGTAAGATATTAAATTTAATTCAACACTTACGGCAATAACTCTCAGAATTTAAAAAATTAAAATAAGCAAAGTAAAATAATAAAAAAAAAACATTCGGAGTACCCCAGCCAGAAAATACGTCATGGCAAGGGAGATAAATAAGTGTTTGGTATGTAAAAGCTAAATAAAACTTAATAAAAACCTGAATAAACATTCGTGTCTTGCTCTTTTGTACAAAGAAAAAGATACCTTTGACTTCATTTAAATAGTGTTGTTTTTATCTAGGAGTAAACGTTTTTTGTTTGCTTGTTAAATTACCTTATTTTTGTCTCTAAATATAACCAACACCACAGCAACTATGACCAACCAAAATTTTAAGTGTCTTGTGAAAAAATATTAAAAATTTAAGAAATGATTGTGAAAAAATATTAAAAATTTAAGAAATGAGTTCTTATGATTTTGCACACTTTCACGACAAACTTTAAAACACAAATTTGCATCTTACAAATAAAAAAAAATCTAAAAATAATCGTAATATTTAAAACAATTTTATGGAAAGTAGTTACTTTATTTGATTTATTTAACCACGCTAAAAATTCACCATTCTTATGTGAAAAACATTAAAAGTGAATTTTTATAACATGGGTGGTTGATATCAGTATGAGTCAAAGGTCAATTTGGGTAGCTGATGTGATATTTGTATTGCTGGCTGATGACAGCTGAAAAGCGAATGGCTTCCGTTTGAAAGCATGGTGGCCCGTAATAAAATGAGGCATTAAAAAAAACAATATTTATATTTTTTTAAACTATTTATTTTTCTGTAATTTTTTGTTGTTGATAATGAAGATTTTATTTTGTAACAGAAAAATCATTACTTTTTATAACGTTAATTTTGGTAGACATTCTGACATAAAATGTTGATTTGATTATAAAGAAAGTAATAACTCAATTGATTTTGGTCTCAAGTAATAAAGTATTTTGGTGAAAATTATTATTATGGTATTTAAAGAAATAAAATTTCTACTGTAAAAAAGATTAAGAAATAGACTTTTATTTTCAAAACAGAATTTTTTTCAGCTGACACACAAGTGAGATTTACATGGAAAACATTTGCAAAATATTTCAATGGTTTTTATGCAGAAATGTGAAATCAATGCACTATCTACTAATTGTTTAATTTACAAAATAAATCCTAATTCAAATAATTTACTTATTAGGTCATATTTTGAAATTGTGTAGTCCTCATCATCTTCATCTTCTATGAAATAAAGTAATTTATAATTATTATTTACCTATAATAATTAATTTAATTAAATTTATAATCATTATTTGCCTAATTTTTGTCCCTTAAACCACACATTGCATTTACTTAAATTCCTGTATGATATATGCCCCTACCTTCAATATTATACAGTGTTACCCGGATATAAGAGAAACCCGGATATAAGAGAGATTTTCTCTGGTCCCAAATTAGAGCCCATACTTACCTAAACAAAATAGACCAAACCCGGATATAAGAGAAACCCGGATATAAGAGACTTCTTCTCCGGTCCCGACAACTCTCTTATATCCGGGTTACACTGTACATCCCTATAATAATAATATTCCTACCTTCAATATTATATGTTCCTATAATATGTCCCTACCTTCAATATTAAGTCCCTATAATAATAATATATCCCTACTTTCAACATTATGTCGCTATAATGATATATGCCCCTACCTTCAATATGTCACTATAACAATAATATATGTCCCTAACTTCAATATTATACATCCCTATAATAATGTCCCTACCTTCAATATTATGTCACTATAATTATATGTCCTTATCTTCAATATTATACATCCCTATAATAATATGTCCTTACCTTCAATATTATGTCCCTATAATAATATATGCCCTTACCTTCAATATTATATTTCACTATAATAATAATATATGTCCCTACCTTCAATATTATACATCCGTATAATAATAATAATAATAATATATCCCTACCTTCAATATTATATGTCCCTATAATAATATGTCCCTGCCTTCAGTATTATATGTCCCTATAATAATAATATATGTCCCTACCTTCAATATTACCTTGTAACATATTGGTCAATTCTTCTGAAAATCTGTAGAGAATTCTTTTGAAACATGGCATAGTGGATAAATGCGTTAGTTTGATCCAGTGCCAGGACCCAAAGAGTGTGAGTTCAATATCCGGTTAAGGCGGTGGAAAACTTGGAGAGGGGAATTAACAGGAGATAACTGATATAACTGACATCCATTAGCCATGGCACATGGAACTAGAACAGTCTACCCCAGTGAGTGAAATAAAGGGTTCAGTTCAACGTTCCAACCACCTGAAGAAAGCCGGAGTGTACAACGGCCGAAACTTTGTAATAAATATGGCGACAAAGATTAGGACAATAGTCCGAATAATGTGAATAGTGTACTTAATATTTTTATATTAGATTAAAAAACAAAGTTACAATTTATATATTCCTTAAAATATAATTTAAATTTAAAACTTTCCCAATTACATGCAAAAAGTGATGGAGATTTACTTTTCGTATGTTTTTTTGCATAATTTATATCTATTGACTAATTAGTGACCATTCCTATGGTATGTAAAACCGTGGTATCACTTTTTTGCAAATCTTTACAAATCTCAAGGATTAATGCCAATGGTTACTTGTAAATTTGCTACTGATACTAGAAGTCAAGTGTTCAATCCCAAGTAAAAAAAATTGAATACTGATTTTTAAAGGCAAAAGCTTCTCCACACATTCTTTTTTTTCTCTATTTTTTTGTGCTATACTAAATCTCAAAACAATATTAAGAAAATATCAGGATAATGTATTTTACATTGTGTTATAAAATAAAATAAGACATATCTCGGCTGATTTACAGGCAAATACTCAAGAGCGAGAGCCGGATGTGAACGGGACAAAACCCCGTCACAAAATGACCATTATCTTCATTTACAAATGTTCCCGACACACGTGTTCCGGTCGAAAAACAAAATAATAATTAAAGTGTTCTATTTTTCGTCCAATAAAAATGCTTCCCTCCTAGTTATACTCGCTTCGTTTTTCGAGCCTGTTAAGCCATAAAAAAACGCTATAAAAGGGGTCAGATGGAAGTTCAACAGGCAGTCCACAGAATGGCTCGGAAATGCCCACGTTAAAAAGGCCCTGTGCCACATGACGCCCTCGTGGGGGGACGACTAAATATAGTCCACAGGTGCCCAGGGTAGAGACCAGTCACGGTCAGCAGCTGACAGCAGGGGAGCATCAACCACCGTCAACATGTGTGAACTACTATGAAAGATCGACCTAGATCCGAAGCCGGCTTATGAACTTTACCACAAGGTAGCTGTCCCAAACCCACACGTTCCTGTTGAAAAAAACCACGTAAATCTATTTCTTCTGTTATCGTATTTCTTCTTGCAACCATACGCTAGAATTATATCATTGTAGTACATTGAAGAAATTATAGTATAGTTAGTATATCTCCTGTGTGTCGGTGGGTGATGCTAAAAACCCGAATTTAAATGAAAAATTTAATTCTCAATCAAATTCAAGTTTTACCCATATACGATCTTATATTTATATATTTAAATTACAATTAAATATATTAAAATATTAATACCCAAGAAAACTTACACTGCCGATTTTGTTCTCGGCTTCTTCGTAAAAAAGCAATAACCAAACTACTCAAAGAAGCAGACGATCTTGAATAACAACTATAATGTAAAGTTCACAGATAAATTTTTATTCCTTAAATAAATTACATGCATATTGTTCCATATGCAGAGTAGTAACGAAAAGAATAAACAAAAATTAAACAGATTTACTTACATGAATAATGTCTGTCTATATAGAATGTATAATTCTACAAGCAGACAACTTAATAACATATTTTCTTTCATTTGAACCTTTTCTTTTACAATAACAAATCTTGTTACAATATCTTTTAACAGACAATTCAATCTCTTCAAATTCTATTATGTTTTTCTTTCGAACACTTTTCATTTTCTTCTTTCTTCAAATTCTTTTCTTCTTCTTCTGACACTCTTTTTCACTTTCCTCTGGAGCTGAAAGTGTAAATTATAAAACACAAAGCCTAACCTAGTCTAGGCTCTAAATTTAAAATGTATATCTTTTAAAATAATTTTTAAAATCCCACTTTAAAATAGTGAACGAGGTAAGGGTCGTCTTCCCGCAGCGAACGACTCTTAGTCTTACAAAAAAAAAATTGACTGTCCGAGTCAACAAATCAAATGCAATAATTCCCCTTGTAGGGAATTAAATTACGTACTTCTTTTAGCTTCTGAATTCTACCGAAGCTAATAAAATTTTCTCTTCAAAGTTTTTCAAATAAACATATCTTTGCTTCGGAATTCTACAAAATTTTCTACAGAGTCGTACGAAACGAAAAACTCCCCATTCCGCAAATCTAAATAAAGTTGGGCATCATTAATGTTAAATCTATCTAAAAATAAAGTGCTTCGACACAGTAAGTCGAAGGTTCAAAGTAGCATGCTATTTTACGTGATAACTAAGTCAGTTTATCACGGAGCCAGATTTGAGTCTTTACTCTTTTTTACTCATCAAGAAAAATTTTCTGACTTTATAAAGGTAAATAATTCGACATTGTAAGTCAAATTATTAAAGGTAACACTTCATTTAGTAATCAGTTAACCACGGAGCCAGAATAAAAAACGTCTTAAACTACCGAGGATAAATATCTGACTGAGGATCAATTCTGATAAAAAAGGAGTCGTCTGCAGCTTCCAATTCCATGAAAAAGAGCGGCAACAAAAATTATCGTCTGTTTTGCCATCAGACGTATATTATACAAAATATCAATACATCATATTTTACCACTGAAGTTATTGAAAAGATGTCTTCTCACTTTATTTTAATATTATAAATTTCTTTAAATAAAAATTTTCCAAAACATTTAAACATAAATGCACTCACGCATAATACGTTTAGTACACGATTAAAAATGAGTAAATTTCAGTTTACTAGTATGATTATTGGTGTTCTTGTTAGCAATGATTATCAATTCATCTTAAATTCAGTATCTGCATATATTTTTTTGTATTTATTTTTAATCATAGCTAATATTGGAAATGAAATCAATGGAATTTGAAAGGTGTGGTTCCATACTCTTCAAAATCTCAATCAGTAGCCCTGCTGCATGATGTAGTTGTCTTATCCGGGTAAGTCACTGCATGATATATAACTTATATCCAAATCATGCATATAATAATCAGTTGCCATATCACATTTGCAATTCATAATCTTCATTTTCGTTTTCATAGAAAACATTAAAATGGGTCACAAAAGCTATTGACTGAACCAACAAATAACTGATCAACAGAATCAACATTCCAAATGTGGGCAATTCTTTGACCAGTTAGTTTACCATGCAGTATATCATAAGTTTTTTCGACACACTCAAATTCCAAAGAAGGAAATTCTGCCTGGATATCAGAAATTGAGTGGCTTATTTTCTGTAATCTTTTCTGGGTTTGATTGTGTTCTTTTTTTTCTTGTTGCATTCTTTTTTCCTTTATCCGACTCTACAATTTTTTGATTGGACTTTCGCTCGACACGCATTTGGGTACTGTAAGTTATTGCCAAATTCAAATATTTATTAAAATCAGCATCACTTAGCTCATTCAAAAATGTCCAAAAATTGTTCCTTTTTGCTTTTATTAAATAGCTAATGCTGGAAATATAAGCATTTGGTCAAATCCTTTTTTTTTTCACAATATTCACCTATAATACTTTCTATTTCTATTGCATGCTGTCGAACGGAAGTTAACAGTTTCCATCGAATTTTCAACAGCAGAGAAAGTCTTTCTATATTGTCTTTCTAAACACTTCAGTGATTCCTTTTAAGCAGGCAGAAAACATTTTGTAGGGTAAATTTTTATTTTAACACCCGAGCGCTAATATCCCTTCAATTTTTTCCAAAATAGTCTTATTTCCGTGCAAATGTATATGCTGAACTCAAATCAACAATTAGATATTGAAGAAACCTTCCTTCTTGGATGTTAACGACCCGAAAAAAATCGGACTTTTTCTTGGTCTTTCGTCAGCCATTACCGGCTTATTGATAAGTAATTCAGCGCTGAATTTTGTTGGTGGACGTATACAATTTGGGTCTATTTACTTCCTTCACAGTAATTCCTTGTAAAAATTAGTACGCGCTTCCGTAAAGTGACTTTTTTTTTTACTTAATTTAAGAAGAAAGTTAACTTTCAAATATATGTAAACATCGACAAATAAAAGAATAACAAAGTATTTTTTTTAAGAAGAAAGTTAACTTTCAAATTAGGGTTAGGTGTTTTTTTTCTTTTGTTAACTTCCTTCTTAAATTAAGTACAAAAAATCGCTTTATGGAAGCGCCTACTAATTTCTGAAAGAAAATAGTTCAGCAGTGAATGACGCTCGGGTGTTAAAATGAAAAATTATGTGGGGCAACCAGGAATTTATTCCTTTCTTTTTTTTTGGTGGTAACAAGTTACCAAAAAAGTCTTTTTCTATTTGGGAAAAATCATTAAATTCTCCCAAATTCTTTTAAATTTCCAATGACACCCTTCACTATAGGCATGGTGTTAATTGGATTTTGTGTCGTACTTAAGTCAGTGTAAAATGTTTTCATCCACGGATTAAATTAATTCAAGAACAGCGTGACAATAATGAAATGTGGGGTTACTAACGACAAAAATCTGTTTTCTTCCTGTTTGCAATCTAAAGAAAATGTATGGCTGCTAGCTTGATCACTAGACCGGAAGTGAATATGGAATGCTGGGAAGGCCCGGTCTTTTGCTGATCGGAATGTTCAGTCGATGAAGTGCGTAGTGGGTTTCTTTTTGCTGGGCTCACGCAAAAAGAACCAAAATGTTGGTTTTATTTGACACAGCTTCAGGATATGCGATTTTTAAGGTAAGTTTAATTATTAACAACCTTTATTCACTGTAGTCATTTTATCATTTGGTGTTTATTTCTTATTTAATTCAAAAAATAACTTTCTTCTCTAAATGGGGACAAATAACCGCCATTTTGGGTCTCCACGTGGTTCAGTGGAGATTTTTTTTCTTTTTCGAATCGCCTGTTGAATTTTTTTTCTTACTTGCTTTAACTGTCTATAAAATAAATTTCACTACTGAGCATTATTCATAGAAACATTTTTTTTTCTTTTTAAGTGAAATTTCTCGTTAACATAAAACATTCTTTCCCCATTTGATATCAAATTTTTAATTGCCTTCTTAAAAATAAATCGATAGGACACTTTTCTAGAATTAAGCATTTTTGTTATTTATTTGGCCAACATTTCTTTTTCGACATTTCCATCTATTCAGGGTATGTCTGCAAAAATCCCACCCACCCTCATTATGTCGCGCTCATAGCAAAAAGAACTTCTTTTAAACTACATAATAATTTTTTTTAAAGGACAACGTCTTGAAAAATTGTGAAAGTTATTTACTTCTGAGGAGTGAAAAATCTTTTCTACTCGTTTTTACAAACTGATAGCGATTTCATTCAAGTAAAAAAAAAAAATTAAAAAAAAGTCATTTTGGTTCGCTGTGTAAATAATTACTCTTTGCCCAGATGCCCATTAAATTCAAACGGACATTTAGCTAATTTCTCCTTAAATTCATTATTAAATTATCAGTTATTTTTATATTAAAAGTTTACGGAAAATAAAAGTTTTATATTTTCTATAGACAATTTTTGATTGATAGATTCTTATTTTGTTGGCTGGAAAATCCTTTTTAAAGGTCTGGATGTTAACCACGTGGTCGCCTAAAATAAAAATCTATTTGATTCTGATGGAAGTTTAATATTGAAGATAAGTCTTTTTTAAAACTATACTTGCATCTTTTTTCTTTATTTTCTTAGAACTTTTTAAACTAAAAATAATCAGAAAAAATTATTACTTGTGGGTAGCAACAAAAGTTTAGTTCTTTACTGCCCCCCCAAACAAAAAAAATTATTTTATTTGTAACTTGTTTATACCAGATGTTGGGAAAAATCCTCAAAATAATTGTTTTAATTTGAAAATCTAGGCAAAATACGAGGAAAACTTTTTTTTTTTTTTTTTTTACCCCCCCAACACAATGTTTTAACTTTTATTTGAAAGTTCCAAATTTTTTTTTTTTTTTTTTTTTAAACCTATTTTTCTTGAAGTGGTAGCAATCAGATTTATTTCTTAATATAAAGCACTTTTTTTTTTTTTTTTTTTTTAAATGTCCTTTTTATTTTAAAATAAAATTTATTTTTAGACAATTTTGTGTTCATTAATTTAGAGATTTGCAAAGTGCGACATTTATCAATCAAAAAATATTGGGAGGGGGACTAAAATCGACCATTGAATTATTTTAGCTATTAACACTTAATAGCTAAAATAAGTTAATAATTAACTGATCTTATTTTATTTTTGTTTTTTATTTACATATCAATTTTTGAAACTATGCCAAAAATCCATTTCCATTTTGTGATAGTAAATGTCATTTTTTTTTTTTTTTTTTTTTCAGCTTTTAGATGAAAGCAAATTATCACAATCAGACGATTTATTTAAAGACTTTGAAAGTCCTGACACCGCCAGTAAGATGTAAGTTCCTTACCAAATTCTTAATATTTTTTCATATTTCTTTCTTTTATACGAAAAAAAAAAAAAACTGAAAATATAAAACAAAAGTATAGTTCCTTCTAAATGTAGTTAAATTAAATTTAGTGACTTTGAAAGAAAAATCGTAATTGACTCGATGAAAGCAATTTCATTTCTCTTTCTTCTCTGGTTGAAACTTTTTTCTTTTTTTTTTTTTTATCCAGACAAACAAGTAATACCTTACATGTGATCGATAATGATTCGTCTTGGTAGTACTAAAAATTCTCTCTGTTCTTTTAAAAGCACTAGTCATTAAATCGCGTTGGGTTGCCAGTAAGCTAAAAATACGTCGTTTTTCCCACTTCACTTTATCTGAATTCGTTTGATTGTTACGAGGTAGGGTGCTGTAAATTTCTTGGCCTGACCAAGAAACATTGGAAAATTTTTTTTAAAAGTCTATCTTAGTCAGACCAGGAACTTTTCATAACTATCTGGAAGTGAAATTTAAATGCGAAGAGAAATCTGTTTTTGACATAAAAATAAATAAAATTTACTTTTTTTCTTTTTTATAGTATTCAACTCAAATATTTTCAGAAATTTGAAGACACAACAAAAGGCCTTGCTGGTAATTTACTTATTTTTAATAATTTGCTTGATTCTGATGCATATAAATTGAAAGTTTATTAAATATAAGTTTAGGTATATTTGTGGCACTGTAGGTATGACTGAAGTTTTAATTCTGCTTTTGAGAAGATGGTCATTAAAAAGAAAATAATTATGTACACTTTAAAAAAAAAAAAAAAATTGACTTGAATATTACACTATATTTGGCATGTTAATTAAAAAATCTTCCCAAATATAAAGTAGCTTGTCGTTCAAATTCTGAATTAATTTAATATTTTCTGGATTATGCCAAAATATATATGTATTGAAAAATAGATTTTACAACTGATATCTTCCATTATTTGACTGTAATAAAATGTCCACTCCAATGAAATAAGCGTCACCAAAAGATCCCCTGTTTGGCAGTGGGGTGCTTTAACATATCCATATGAGATCTTAATTTGTTTCTAATTATTTTAAATTTCGATAAATAGCCGTCCGGGGTAAGACGAGAAACTACATCAAATAGATTTTGACAAAACAAAATGTAAACAGCAAAAAAAAAAAAAATGTTGGCCGCATTAAATAACACATTGAGATTGATATGCTGTAAAACACGAACCAAATTCAATAAACAGGTTTGTGTTTAGCATTATCATCATCTTTTGTAGGCACCTACAATGAAGTTCTAAAATTAAATCTTAAAAATGAAAAGGCATTCTTGAAGATTTCATTTTAGTATTAATTGAAAGCTAAATGATTAAATTTATTCCCAGTAAGTAAAATATTCTGGTGTATTTCAGATAGAAATCATATAGATTGGAATGTCAAATAATTGCTTGATTATTTTTTTTAATTTTTTATGTGGCCATTTTCAAATTTATTGGTTATAAAAAGATTTTTTGAAAACTAGATTTGTGGCACATTACTTGAACATAATTAGAAAATTTAAAGTTGAATTAATCTGATTTGAAATAAATACTGCTTATAACATAAAAAACAATATACAACTGTAGGTTCCTCTTTCATTGATCTTTATTGATTATCAAGAAGCTCTCAATATGATGGGTGAGCAGAAATGACATTTATTAAATTTAAGTGAACACCTTTCTTCTTTTTTAACTACCTAGTAATTTTTACAGATTAACATTTTCAGCAATTGTTTAACTTTTAGTCTTTTAGTTTCAGGAAGTTTTATGAAATTTGCATTTCATCTCTAGGTTCTTTAAGTTTACTACCCTAAACAAAAAATATATATTGAAGCATGACCCAAACTAAAATAAGTACATAAAATAAAAAAAATATTTAGTAAAAATAGCAATAGAAAAAAGTAAAACATTTTCTAATATTTTGAAGCAATGATTTGTAAAGATGTTGATTTCGAAATGGAACTGAATTAAAAGTGAATTGCAGTGAGTCAGATGACACTTAAGTCATGTCACCTTTTTAAGGATTACGTCCTAGACAGAAATTAGGAAATTCTTTTCACTAAAAATTATGAGTAATTTTGCTATCATTACTGAATAAGTAATGCTTATTTATTTAATTAAATATTTGGTTTTCAGCTGCCACTGCTGCTGTGGAAAGCAAACTAAGCAAAAATTTGAAAAAGTTCCTCAAGAAAACAGTTTTGAAAGATGCCACTGAAGAATTGGCAATTGCTGATGCAAAACTGGGCAGCATTATTAAGGTAATCCTTTTTTTTTTTTTCTCTTGAGTTCTGGGCACATTTTTCAACTAAGATATGTGATAAGTCCATTTGTAAGCTTTTGACAATCACAGCCAATAATACCAATGTCTTTGATTTTCAAAATATTCAGTACTCTCTCATATATATATATATATATATATATATATATATATATATATATATCACAGCTGTTTGAGGTTTCCTACAGACCCACTGAATTTAAATAAAGTCAATTCAGGTTTCCTATGGTAAAATTTTCTTTCCCAAGTGAAAATCATCACAAAAATAGCAAAAGTCATTTTGTCACAGCTTATTTTCTCTCAAAATATGGGTTTTCATACTTTTTAGGGGTAAAATATTGAAAAATGACTGTTTTATCATCACCTAAACGAATATCAAGGAAACTTTTGATCTGAACCCCATGAAACTAGGTATTTTCTGAAAGCAAAAGATATATTCTTTCATTTAAAAGTAAAATTAGCTGGTGTAAATGACTCAAAAAATTTTTTCAGTGGGTAAAATGTGAAAAAATAGTGAAAATTTTGCATTTTTTTCTTGTTCTAAACAAATATTTCCCCCATTAATGGAAATTAACCTTTTTTTTTTTTTTTTTTTTTTTGAAATCAGAAAGCCTAGATCATAATCAAACTATTTCAGGCATAAAATTGAGAGTTTTGAAGGAAATCAACATTCCTAGGGGTTCAAAAAAAATGCGACAAAAATCCATTGTTAATTTTCAATTATGACTGCCAAGGGTTAAAAAAATTGACACCTGGCCACGGAAATCTTTAGTAAAAGGCAAGAGATTTATCTGCAATTCCTAACCACCAGAAACCAAAAGTTTTTTTTTTTTTTTCCTAAAAATAGCGATAAGGGAAAATAAACCTAATTGACTTTGACGTCTAGGTCAAAGGCCAGCCAGCCAGCCAGCAATAAACGGACGGCAAACCTTAGAACAAGTTGTAATAAAACCCACCACTCCCAGATAAAAGCAAAGGGTGAATAAAAAAGGGTTCACAATTACTAGGGCTTCATATAACCTATGTTTGAACAATGGCTTGATAAGTTTTGTTTTGTTTTTAACACCCCGTGACCCGGTGATGACAACAACACTTAGCAGACAACATTGTTTTTTTTTCGCCAGATATCTTTTGTATTTCCCATCGCCGGTCCATTTAGCCTTTCTTTTTATTCAATGATGTTCATGCCAAATGAAAGAGAAAGGAATGAATTTTGAATGATGTTATTTTGAAGCGAAAATGAATATTTTTTCATTAAAAAAGGGATTTTTTCTCAGAAAAATTGTGCATAATTTCTTAATGCTAACCGCCGAGTGACATTTTCCACAGCCAAATCAAGATTAATTACCAGTGAATAATTCCATGTAAAAAATAGCCGTCTGGATCCTATAAGGTCGCCTGAAAGGTCCAGAAGTTTACTAATTGATCGAAAACCTGTTGCGCATAATTGTATTTTTCACGGTCAGTTTCCATTATTTCATCTTGATATTATCATTTCGGACAGCCAAGTCATCAAGGATTCAGGAAAACACTTTGACATAGGTTTTCTTTAAGAACTTTACATTCTATGAGGTGTTTAAAATGTTACTGATTTAATGAGATTTTTTTGCCGCATATTTCGTTTACGCGCCATGTTGGATTTTCCTATATGACTGTGACGGTTACACACCTGGCCCAGTGTCGGATCCTTTGGTTACGGCGCCAACGGTGACGCCGCTCCTCCTGGTCGTTCCTCCTGGGTCCAAGCGTGCCGCTCCAACCCTTTGGTCAGATGATTCGCTTTTCCCGACTCGCTTCCAATACCTGGTCACTAAAGCAACTATACCGATCTCCGGTCTGTCTACCCACGCTGTGTTTAGATCTTAGACAGACGGGACCAGCAGGGATCGGGGCCGATACAAGTTGAGTCCGACGGGGTGGCAAAACACAAATAAAATAAAACTCACGACACCAAACAAAATTGTTGATAAAAAAGGGTAACAACCTTTTATATCTTAAAGTCCGTTACATAAAAACAAAATTGTTCTCAATTGACCCGCTCTGTGGACTATGGCACCAAGCTTCTATCACACAATAGGAAAATGTCGAATTACCTACTTTCTAGAATCATGTATGTATGTCGGAGTGTGGTTCAGTTCGACACTGGGGCTAATTTCTATCGAAGTTGATTCTTCTCTCCGACTTGAGTTGTATTTCTTCTTCTTCTTCTACTTGGGCTGGAAGTTCTTCTTGTCTGAGGGTTCTTTTTTCGCTGCCGTCGTCGGGGATGAACTCTAACTTCTCATCGACTTTTCGGCTTGTCTGCAGCTCCAATTCTTCTCAGGCTTTCGCAATCTTCTTCTTCATCTACTTGGCTGGAAGTTCTTCTTGTCTGAGGGTTCTTTTCGCTGCCGTCCGGGATGAACTCTAACTGCAACTCCAACTCAACTTCAGCTCCAACTGATTTCTTCTCTTCGCTTCTGAATTATTGTTCACTCATCTCCGCTGTCAGTGCGCCGACTGCAACTTCTCCATTTAGGCCAAACGGATCGGCCTTTTTTGCCCGCCGAAGGGGCGAATGCCGGGCCCGCAGCCCGCAGCCAAACTCCTTCTTCATCCGCAAAGCTCCAACTGATTTCTGCCGACTGGGGTCCTGCTTATATTGACGCCGCAACAAAAGAAGGGGTGGGTCGGTCGGCGTCAGGGGTTTCTCGATAATTTCAAAAGCCGTATTAATTTTGACTTTCCATTATCGTTATTGTTTTCACCCCTACTTTCTCACAGTGCTCTTGGGGGGCGGCGCATATCTATTTCTCTTAGTCTCTCTCATGTCAGGTGATCGCTCTCAACCAATCGTTTCCCGATCGAACCTTTCTTTTTCTTCTTTCCGCAGCCCACGTGATCGTCCAACAGTTATTGATCGAGGTTTTCTTTCCTTCTTCTTCCATGTCACGTGATTGTATTCGACCAATTGTTATTGACCGAACACCCCTCTCCTTTTGTTGGCGGGTGTGGTTACATCGTGCTGGTTTTAAAAAAACAAAATCCAATTTCGCGACCTTTTGCACGTACGCAAAATGACAATCCTTGCCCTCTCTCACCTGGACTTTGTCAAACAGCCTGCTGCTAATTAGTCTTGACTTTTAGAAAGGATCTTTTCCGCCTTCCTGGCGCCCTCCGTGGTCCAAAAACAATTGTCTTCTTTTTACCTCTTTGTTTTTCCTGATAGCCGAGAATCTTAATTATCTAGGTGAAATATCTCCACTTTCTTAACGTGGGTGTCCAATTCTTAACAGGTCAATTCCGTATATCGTTTTCACCAACTTCCCCAACCCAAAGACACTTTCTCTCTGACTAAAGTAAAATTCATTTCTATTATTCTAATTTAAAAGTTTTTATTTATTTGGATAAGAATTTTCTACGAAAATGTCGGTTTCATGACCGATATCTCCAATTCTATTCTTTCAACAAAAAATTAAGGTCAGTCAGAGGCTCTGACCGACATCTGGTCCACACCCAGCGGCCTGTTTTGATATCATGTCTTTTCCTTTCTTTTCCCCCTTTTGTTATTATCTTTCCTTTCTTCCTTTTTCCTTTCTTTTCTTTTTCCTTGCTTTTAGGATCGTTTAGTACATTCTTAGTGAATTATTTTCAACCCAGTTATTTTCCGTTTTAAAGAAAAAAAAAAAAATTAACAACCTGTTTAATAAACTGAATAAGAAAAAATTAACTCATATTTCTATGAATATTTCCAATAAATGCAAGGTGCCACATGACAAAAACAAGGGTTTTAAACAGCTGTGATATATATACACACACACACACGTGTGGGCGTGTTGTAACGTGGTGCTCTAATATAGGGATCCATTTAGCTAATGTTGCTATTGCTGTGTCCTTTTTAATCCTGTCAAATAAGGAGTTAAGGAATGAAGAGGCAATGATTATTTTTATTTTATGGAATGAGCAAAAGCTGAAAGTGATTTGTCTTTCTTTCTCTGCAGGAAAAGTTGAACTTGCCTTGTGTAAGCAGTCCCAATGTCACAGAGCTGATGAGATGTATTCGAATGCAGGTTAACAACCTTTTAACTGGCATCTCTGACAAGGAGGTAGCAGCCATGAATATTGGTTTGGCTCACAGGTAAACATTATCTGTATGAAATTGTCATTTTTGGTCACAGCTATTTCATTATTTTTTTATTTTTTTTCCTCATCTACTTAAAGAATAAATTAAGTTTCAAAAAAGTCTTAGATTTCACAGATGTAAAAACTTCATTTTCACCAGAGTTTTTGTTCTGGTTAACATGTGAAGAAGCTTTATAACTTGCTACCTGAGGTGAAGAGAAGAAAACAAAGCTGTTAGAGTAATCAGTTTGAACTTTATAGATTTTTTTCTTTATTGCTGTCTATCAATTTGTCTCCTAAAATTTCATTCCAAATTGGACCAACTACATTTTCATCTGTAAAAATGATTTTATAAACACAGCAACTTGCTTACATTCATGATTTTTTTTTTTTTTTCTCCATAGCTTATCACGATACAAACTGAAATTCACACCTGATAAAGTAGACACAATGATTGTACAGGCAATTTGTAAGTACTTATGATTTTTTTTTTTTTTTTTTCATTCTTTCCTCAAAGCCTTGATTTTTATAAATATTAAAAGCAAAAATATTTGAGACTGTCATTTTGTTATTTTTTACATTTTCTTAAATTTAACTTCATTTTCATTGAAATGTAAGCGGGATAATTCTTGCCATTTTATTTAAAAATAAAGAAAACCTTGAACATTAACCAACACTATAATGATTTGCTCGTAAAATAATATCCTGTCTTTTCTAATCTCTGCCACTTTTAAAATGAAACAAAACTTTCTTTTCCAGCTTTGTTGGATGATTTGGATAAAGAATTAAACAATTATGTGATGCGTGCAAAAGAATGGTATGGTTGGCATTTTCCAGAACTTTCCAAAATCATTACAGATAGCATTGCTTTTGCAAAGGCAGTCAATCTCATGGGTGAGTTGAAAAATTCTTGTCAATCTTTTCTTGCTCTCCCCTCTATACACATACACATGCGTCTGTCCTTGTTTTCATAAATTCTTTTTTCCTCCTGAAAAAGTTCTGCAAAGAGAACTTCATTCTAAATATTCTGCAGTCTCTCATGCAGTGTCCTTTATCTATGATCTTTTCACCAATGATGATATTTTAGTCGGATGTTGTCAAATGAAGAAACCAAACACAATTCGTCACTACCTCTGAGGTGAAAAGGTTGAAGGCAGTCTTCTCTTGTCCCAAATTTAGACATTTTTTCTTTTTCATTCAATCTTTAATTCTACCAACACTGGAGAACTCCTTTAATTTCTTGCAGTTCATAAACTTTTCAGAATATTTGAAGGTCCTTAACATGTGGAATGAATAATTTGGTTTTGTTTACTTAGGGGATCGGACCAATGCTGTAAATTTAGACTTCTCTGACATTCTCCCAGAAGAAGTAGAAGAGGAACTGAAAACTACGGCTGAAATTTCCATGGGAACTGAAATTGCAGAAGAGGATATAATGAATATAAAAAGTTTATGTAATCAGGTAAATTATTTTTCTTTCCTAAATGTTTTTTATCATCTCATTTGAAGAATGAATATGAACTCTGCTTTTCTTAAAATGTTACTTAGATTACCTCCCCTTGTCAGTACTTGTTCAAATTATTCGATAATGTAAACCTTGTGAATTTTTGTTGATATTAAATAATTCCTTTGCCCTTGGACAACATTGAATCTTTCCAAATTTTTCTTTTTAAGTTTAGTCCAAATGTTAAGTAGTTGATTTAACATCCTTTCTCCCTGCTACCTTATTTATTGTATGAATGTTTTGTTTTTGTTTTTTTTTTTGTTTTTGTTTTTAAAAAAATCTCCTTTTTAGTGTAATGTGAAAATGTCATTTTCCTATAAGAAACTACAATGTAATCTTATTGTAACAAAGTAACTTTTGGAACTCATACCTCTGTGATTCATCTATAACCATCGTTGGCAAGTCTGATAGAATACATTCTATTAACTGCGGGTATATCACTAATTGTCATCATTGTTGGGTTGGGTTTTCAGTTCTTATTTTTATTTTATTTTTTTTTCTCTCTTCCAGATTATTGAAATTTCTGATTACCGATCAACATTATTTGACTACTTAAAGAACAGAATGGTGGCCATTGCTCCAAATCTCACAGTTCTTGTTGGAGAATTGGTTGGTGCCAGGCTTATTGCTCATAGTGGTAAGTAACAAAAAAAATATTTGTCCAGGAAATGTCTTTCCCTCGGTGCCTAATGGTGTTTCATTTTAAATCGAAGCACCTACTGACCTCTTCCACAATAAATATTGAAATGTCCTTTTGGGTAATGGGAGTGAGGGCACTTCTTTACACTAATCCTTTGTGATCTCCTCATCAAGGCTAATTAATGAGAGCTAAAAGCGGGGAGTCTTGTGGTACCCTCAAGTAATGGTATTGTGCTAGATGATGATTTGAATGAAATTGAGGTGTCAATCAATGATGACACTTGATCCATCACCCAATAATCTGATGGCACAAAAAAAAACATTCGTCCTGACAAAGATGTATTGTTAAAGTGTCCTGTTCAGAGAGCGGGGAGGAATAAACTCAACATGGCCCATACAGATGACATTGTCCAAGAAAAAGCATTTGTCAGTGAATTGGTAGGGTAAACAGTTGAAAGAATTGTTGGGAATTTGATTTAATTTCTAAATCATTATTCAAAGATGTCTAAGTATTATTGTCTGATGCACTTGGTGAGGATCAAACTTTTTAGTAGTCATGATCTAGAGAATTGTCTATTTTAATAGTCTACCAGAATATAAATTCTGATGACCAACATTCAGATTGATTTTTTTTTTTTTTAAAATACAATATTGGTTTAATCCTTCCCAAAACATCCAAATGTATGTGTTATGGTAAAAATAGATTATGCTTACTAAAATGGTTTCAGGCAAGATGCCATATTTTTAAGGCTGTAAATGTGAACTGCCAAAAAAAAAAAAAATTCCTTTTCTACATTTACAAATATTTTCTGTCTCTATGAATCTTTAGCTTTATACACCCAACCAACCAGCGTCAATCTGCATTTTTTTTTTTTTTTAAATATACCTCTCCCACTGATGAAGGGAGGGTATAAGCTAACTTTTCATGTTTGCTGTTTATAATGATATTTCAGTTGAGTGACAGAATTGAAACATTGAATAAAGATTTGATTTGAAATTTGATGACTTACAGAATGACAGGAAGTAAAGTGATTGTTTGTCAAATTTGCTCAATCAATCCTGTGCCAAATGATGATTTGAATGAATGAGGTGTCAATCAATGATGACACTTGATCCATCACCCAATAATCTGATGGCACATAAGATATTCCTTCCAAAAAAGCTACTTTATTAAACTTCTCTCGTTCGTTTGTTCTTGTCCTGTTTATTAGAAGTGAATTGCAGGGGGAAAAGTAGGGCAGATGTTGGGGGGGGGCTGTGTGCTGGTTAGGGTAAAAGTCAGTGACTGGGGAAGCATTTTCAGTTCTAATAGCACTAAACTCTGATAAAATTTCTTGAAATCCAAAAATAATTATTTAAAATCTGTTCTGGATAGGAAAACTCCAGAAGCTTTGGGCTCAAAATCTGATGCCCCATGACTTTCAACCTTAGCCAGTTAAAGCCTAAGTGCTCAATAAAGGTCTGATCTTCACAATCACCAGCAAACAAGTCATACTCACAGCCTCAATCAGGAATGCCTTCAGTTTGGTTCTAACATAATCAGCTAGAAGGAAACCTAATCAACTAGGAATTGTCATCTCCAGCAAGGCACTCGACATGGTGTAATGGTTAGCAAACTTATCTTACTAAATCAATTACAACTGAATATTTCGGCTTTATGCTTAGAAAAATCGTGTGTTTGGAGTACTTTGAGGATATAATCTTACTAAGACCCAACCACCTAGCTAAGTTATATAGATGCTGTTAGATCATATGAACCCTCATGGCACTTCTTTTTTTTTTTATGGAGAAAAATGACCAGGGAAGTATTCTCCTTGGGTACACAGAATTAATTTGTACAGAATTTGGGTCCATTAGAGAGGAAATTACTTGAATTTTACATGTTACATTAAAGAAAACAAATTATTTACATTACTTTTTTAGTAGCATTACAAAAATACAAACTGTTTAGGAAATAAAGAAAAAAACATCTTAAATGAATAAATACAATTAAAAAAAAAATCAATTTCATTTTTAAACATTTCAACTAAATCACCTTGAATAATTTTATACAAATGCTCTCATTAATTTTCAGGTTTAGACTTTTTTTCTTCATATTACATTTCAACTATTCACAATCAAAAAAAAAAAAATTTTTTTTTTTTTTTTTTTTTTTTTTTTTTTTTTTTTTTTTTTTTTTTTTAACCCCAAATAAATTTCAATGTTTCTTGGTTCAAGTCTATTTCTATCTTCTGACTGTGATGCTCCCTTTTAATTTGGCATGACTGTTAAATCTTATTCTCTGAAATTATTCCATTTGTTCATTTATTTAGGTTCCCTGTTGAATTTAGCCAAACATCCATCTTCGACCATCCAAATTCTGGGGGCTGAAAAGGCTTTGTTCCGTGCCCTCAAGACCAAACATGATACGCCCAAATATGGTTTGATCTACCATGCCTCATTGGTTGGACAAAGCAATGCCAAATTGAAAGGAAAGGTAATGATTAGATTTTTTCTCAGAATTTTACCTCTGCTCTATTTTGAACTGAATTATGTCATTTAAAATTCTAAAAATATCTTTTATTATAAAGTTTTAACAAGACAATCAAATATTTTCAATTGTAAATAGTAACATTTTTCTGTTCCAGATTTCCCGAACATTAGCAGCAAAGGCTTCACTGGCTATTCGTTATGATGCCCTTGGGGAAGGAGATGATGCTGAATTAGGCTTGGAGCATAAAGCCAAACTAGAGCGGAGATTGAAAGCCATGGAGGAAGGAAGTGTAAGTGTGTCTTGGTAAAAGATCTCACAATTCAATTCAATTTTTTATGCTTTTGTTAAATTGCTGATTCAACCAAATTTGCTGGAATAATTTATGGGAGGTGACTTGTGTTTGTCTTGATAAAAGTAATAAAAAAAACTCATTTGCTATAAATTTGTCAGTTCAAGACCTAGCATTGAAAGTTTACTAAAGGAAAAAAAAACTTGGAACTGTTCAAAGCTGGGATCAGTCTGTTTTCTTTCCAATTCTGTACAAATTGGAGACTTGGCTTGTCTGAACAAAGATTTTTATGTAAAAATAACTATTTCCTTTTACAGCATCGTCGAGTGAGTGGAGCAGCCAAATTAAAGAAGTGGGACAAATATGAAAATAAAAGGTAAAAAAAATTATTTCTTTTTAAAATGTTTACTTCATATTTTCACTTTAGTAATTTTTTACGACTATAACAGGTCTTAAACAATTTAAAAAAAAAAAAAAACTATTTAGGATATGAGTTGTTGGGCCCATTTTGATATCCGCACTTTTTGTCTTTTTGATTCAGTTTAATCTTCATGGTTTTGCTGATAGACAAATGGTGCCACAGAAAATATGTAAGCTATCCCCGAAAGTATTTCTAGTGTTGCTTCTCGTTGGAAATCTTGCAAACACTTATTCATGAATATCACCACAAGACATAATATTTGAGCCAACAATGTTCAATAATGTTGGTTTGCTAAATCCAGTTCAGTGTGTGTAATGCTTTGAAATGATCATCCATGCGAGTTTTAATTGGTCGAGCTTTTATGGCATAAGTTGGTATGAATTTGCAAAAATTTTGGTTTGTAGCAGGATTGAGCAAAAATGTGCATTGACTTTTTTGTTAATCTGAAAGACCTTCATGCTGAATTTTGGGAGGTGATGCTTGACCAAAACATCTGGTTTTATTTCTTGTTTCAGCTTTGTTCAAAAATATGAAGAGAAGCAGGATTCAACATTAAGCAAAAAGAGGAAAAAAGAAGAGGACGAAGATGAAGAGGAAGAAGAAGAAAAACCAAAAAAGAAAAAACGGAAAGAAGCAGGTAAGTACTTTTCCCCTGCCCCCTCTTATTCACTCTCTCTCGCACACCCCCACCTTGCAGTTTGACTTCTTGGGAAATGGCATTTGAGAAACTTTCTTGGAATTGTTGATTCTGTGCCAATGAATTGGAATATGTTCTTTGAGAAATATGCCGTTTTGATATGCATCAATTTTCATAGAAAATGTTAAAAATCTATTAAAATGCTTCTTTCTAAACCTTGAACTTCCTCATGCTGGAATTTCTTGGTGGTTCCTCATGATGGAATTTCTTGGTGGTTCCATCCATCCAAGCCGAGTACTGCTTAAATACCATCTAATAAATTCCAAAATTTTTCCCCGTTGTTAACAGTAACAATATAAATCTTTCATGTCTTAATTTTTAACTCCTGAAATCTGTTTTTATCTCAATATGAATTCTTAGAACATCTTGTATGAAGCCTCATCCATTTAGGGTTTTGAATTTTTGTTTGTTTTTTTCAGTTGAAGTGAAAGTAGAACCAAAGGAGGAAGAGGAACAAAGTAAGTAATTTGAATTTTTTTTTTTTTTTCCCTCCATGAATTTTAATTTCTGGTTCCCAAATGTCTACTTGGTCAATTTCTATAAGTAGCAATGGAATTTTTAAAATGATTCCAACAACAACAAAAAAAAAAAAAAAAAAAAAAATCATATATATATATAGCCAGATTTAAACTTTGGAAAGAGAATTTTGCAATCTTTCACTGATTTTTAAGGATCATGTAGCTATTGGAATGTAAGGTATAGTCTTTGAATGGGCTAGGGACTTCTTTTTTTTTTTTTTTTTTTTTTCTTTTTAAAGCAATAGTGGTGGGTGTGATATTCCAATGTATTGCCATCAACTCAAATAGAAGTTTTCATAACCAGCTTTTGTTGCGAGAAAAAAGTCTTAATTATATCCTCCTGCACTTTTTGTCTTTGACTCGGATTAATCTTTATGGTTTTGCCGATAGGCAAATGGTGCCACAGAAAATATGTAAGCTATCCCCGAAAGTATTTCTAGTGGTGCTTCTCGTTGGAAATCTTGCAAACATTTGCCCAATCTTTGGTTTGAAAAAAGTTTCTATAAGTTTGGTCAAAATAGCTGAAAACGATTTCAAATGCAAAGGGGAAAAAAAATAATAAATTTCTGCCAAATCAGTGATGTTCATATGTAATGTCCTTCCATTTTCAGGTTAGATAAATTCTTGAATAACTGAAATCATTTATATAAACTGCATTTTAAAAAAATAAATAATTGATAAGTTTTCAAGATTGTTCTTTAATTATTTTTTTTTTTTTTTCTCTATAATTTCACCATTATAAGAAAAAAAAAGAATTCTCTAGAATGTTTTTAGAGCTTTTGTGAGAGTATGCCTTATCACACTTCCATTGATACGGAAATGCTTGTAAAGATATTGAAAGCAAATAATGAGGTGAGATGGAGAACGTATTCTTTAGCAATGTTTCTGTGCCAAATGATGATTTCTTTTAATAAAATTGAGGTGTCAATCAATGATGACACTTGATCCATCACCCAATAATCTGATGGCATTGAGAAAAGAAAACCCATTTTTATTTGTTTGTTAATGGTCTTGTCCCTATTGCACACATTCTCATTGGATTGAAATCCATCCCCCATTTCAATAGAATTGCGGGTGTCTTTTAAATGCAAAATAAATTCTTAAACTTCCTCTTTGGGAAGGGAAATGAGTAACATTTTGGTATATATGATTTTGCTGAGTGATTGATAGAAAAGTGATGTTTAAAAGTGGCTTTAAGAAGAAAAAAATAATCACATGCACACGATCTGAAGGCACATTTTCTTAAAGCAGTTCATCCATCATGTTAAATTGTGTCAATGATGGCACAAGACATTAAAAAAGAAAAATGTGAGCAAAATGTCAAAAGTAGCTCGGTTTCTGTTAATTGCCATATTTCTATCAATAGATCTTGAATTCCTATGGAAAAGATTTAAGACTTTAGCTGATTTACTTTCAAATTAGGAATGTTTTTTTTTTTTTTTTTTTTTTTTATTAAATAAAAATCTTTTGGAATATTTTAATAAATTAATTGATCAACTAAACTTAAATTTGGATGCTAAAAAATTCCCTTAATCTCCAAAGTTATGAGCAAAAAAGGAAAATTTGGTCCCGCCCTTTGCTGTCAGTGGAAACATTTTACTGTTTTTTTTTTTCTGTCAAATGATGAATATTTTCTTTTGAATTCTCAAATGATGACCATTTCTTTTTTGATGCCATTGCTGATGACAGAAATTTCCTTCCCTGCACCTCATCTGCTCACAAATTTGGAATCTTTCTGACTTTTTATCATTTTTCTATTTTCAGTTGAAGAAACAGAAGTAAAAAAGAAAAAGAAAAAGAAAAAAATCAAAGAGGAACCAGAAGATGATTAAATATTTTAATTTCACATTTGTATATAGTTCATAAAAATATTAAGAGAAAAAAAATTCTTGTTTGGGTTTTATTTCCTTACAAATGGAATGTTTCTGGCATGACGCTTCTTTCTTTAGAATCTTTTTTTCTCTCTCTCTCTCTTCAGAATCTCTTTGAAGAATTGATGATCGTGATTTTTTTTTTTTTTTTATGTACCTGGGAGAGTGGATTATATCCCACCAAATCTATAATTTATGGAAGGAACTCTTAAGATTGTTTCCTGTGAAGCTGCTACATGACGTTTGGAATCGCTGTAGTATTCAAAAGTAATTTCATCAAATCTTGTTAATTTGTCAAATGAATGCTAACATTTTTGGGTAGAAAGAATTGAAATGGATTATTTAGGTTTAAAGCAGGAAATAGAATTAAACTGTGGGGGGAGGGGGGGCTTTGAGAAGCTAATGAAGTATTGGTGGGAGCAGGTTAAAAATAGTAATTGGTAGTCATCAGATCTTCCCCTGGTCCGGGATTTACCAAATTCCAAAAATTGTTAGTTTCCAAAACTAAACTGCTCTATTAATTATGTGAGGTGCCTGTTTCTATTTTCCATCAGCATGGCTGATGCTAACCTTCAAAGTGACTTGTGCTTTCTCAGGACAATGTTCACAGTAAACAAGAAATGGAAAGATTATATTGAATCTTGCTAAGAAATTTGATTCGGGCAATTTTCCTCTCAAGAATCTAACATATCTACCATTTCTCCATGCTTAGAATATTGCTGTCACATGGTCGGGTGCTCTTGTTATATATCTAGAGATCCATGACAAAATTCAAAGGAGGATCAGCAATATTATTTGTCTTGATCTGGCATCTTTGCTTCAGTCACTTTCCCACCATTGTGAAGTTGTCTGTCATTTCTATAAATACTGTTCACCAATTGATGGTGGAGCTGTGAATCTAGATGTTGCTGATCAAGCCTTGTCACAATTAATATTAGCAGGGTCTATATCCTTCCTAACAAAGTTCACTTATTCTTACAAAGCATTTTTCTTGCTAGCATTCAGGCTTCAAAATGCTGTTCATCTCCCGTTAAAAAAGTAGGACTTTTTTTTTTTTTTTTTTTTTTTTTTTTCAGCAAGTGAAATAGTTAAGTAACAAAATCTGAATGGTCTTGATTTGTAGTGTTTATTGAAAATACAGGTTTTGCATGAAAATTTGGACATGGATGTTGGCTTTAAGTGTTCTAAAACTTTCAAAAAAATCCCCATTGAAATATCCTGGTATGCATCCAGTTTGATCATAAAAAATGGTATTTTTCTTTGGATGACATTTGAGTAGAAGGATAGGTAGTATATTATCATTTTCATGACTTTGACATCTGAAAGCTGCAAATGGTAGTGGAATGATTAAGCTAAGAGAAAAATACTAATTGATAAATGGATCAATTAAAAAAAAAATAGAATTCTGAAAAGATTGGAGTGGTTTGAAATTGAGACAGTTTACATCTCTAGAAGTAAACTTAGTAATCCCAACAGTTATCCATTTTTATTGGATTGGAATGTGTTAACTAAAACTTTGCAGGGGAACTAAAATTTATATAATAAATGCAAATGTCACTAAGGGGACACAACTCTCTAACTTTCAGTAGCTCATAATGTCACAGTTTTGCCCCTTTTCAATTTCACTCCTAGGGGCCACAGCCCAATATAAACGATTTTGGTATTGGAGCAAATTAAATATCCTGGGCCAGTCCTAAAATTTTGGATTCCAAAGGTGTTTTTTTTTTTTTTTTTTTTTTTTGTATAATTTTAACTTGAATAATCAAAATTAATTGCAAAAGTAACTCCTGAGAGAAAAATAATTGTTTATACAGATAGTAAGGACCTACATACACTAAATTAAGTGGTGACAAGAATTATGGTTGAACTTCTAAAAAGGTAAGCTTGACTGTAGCAATAGTTCTGTAGTTTGTCGCCCATCACATCTACTACTCCCTACCTATTGTGATAAAGGCCCAATTGAGCTAGCTTAAATGCTTTTAAGCTTATATAATGTCCCCATATTTTAGCAGTAAATATATTTTCACTCTGCTTCTATCATGTTAAAATCAATAATAGATTTAAAGTTTTTGAAATCTGGATCATTGCTGCAACTTTAGTTGGGTGGGTCGTGGAAAGCAAAGAATTGTCACATATGACCTCCAACATAGTTTTTTTTGGTTTTCTATCACTTATGTAAGTACTTTTATGTATATGTTATAAATTAATTGATTTAAAATGTTTTTGTTTTTTTAACTTGAGGATGAAATGGAACTAATGTCTTTAATTACAAAATTAAATTTGGGGCTTTTAGCTTCCATTTTTGAAACATGGTTAGAACTGTAGCAAAAAAAACAAAAAAAAAAACATTTTAAATCAATTAATTTATAATATTAATGCTCTGTAAATTTACATTGAGCACTATTTTGTAAAAATAAAAATATCTATAAGAACACCAGATTATATATCTTACTGTTCTTTCTATATATATATATATATATATATATATATATAATTTTTTTTTTCCCCACTCCTGTCTAATGGATGTCATTTAGACTCCCTGCCACTACCTTAACCAGGTATGGAAGTCACACTCTCCAGGTCTGTCACTGGATCTAACTAACACCTTTATCCACTGTGTCATTTCTGGGAATTATAAAGCTCATGTCTTCAGCAATCATTTTTTTACCATTGCTCATGTGTGTTTTTTTTTTTTTTTTAAACCAGAGCTCATATTGCAATTTCTTTTGTTATCGCTTTACTCTGGCACTCCTTATTACTGGTTCCCATATTGTATTCATTTCTATGCTTGGTCAGCTCAGGAGATTTTTGTGGCCTAGCATATGTGCTGATTCCTTAAGTTTGTGAATTTTCTAATGATCTTTGTCTATGATTTCAACCTGATCCCACAGAGGGTGGTGATTTCCCTTTTCTCTATATGTGGTCAGCCAAGCCTGATTTTTCCACTTCTCCACATGTTACAACTTTTTGGTGTTCTTGAAGCCTACCTTAAGGGAGCAGCCTGTCTCCCCTTTCCACAGCTGCACGGGATGGCGTACACACAGTCTTTAGTCATGTTCTCCTCTATGAGGGGTCTTACTCGGGAGAGATATCTGCATAGTCTAGTCCAGCTTTTGAAGGTTGTCCTGATTTTATATGGACTGCAGATCCTTTGTATTTTCTCTGATAATCCCTTCACATAAGGCAGGCAGACTGTTTTCTGAGTGTTGTTGTCCTCCTATTGTACCCGCCTATCCCAGTTTTTTGGAGCTGCTGCAATGTGCCCAGGGTAGTTATGTTGTAGGGTACTACTTATACTGACCAATTCTTTATCTAATGTCTCTGGGTCGCCACTTATGACTTTTGCTTGGTGTTGTAAGCAGACGATCCCTTTCTTTACACTGTATGGATGGTGGGAGTTGAAATTGTGGTACTGTCCAGTGAATGTTTGTTTACAGTATACGGATATCTTGAGCCCATGCTCTATTCAAGATATTAGACCATCCAGGAATGGGAGTGTATTACTCTCTTTCTCCATTGTGAACTGTATCGAAGGTCTTATTGAGTTCATATAGTCCAGTAGAACCTGAACATCTTCCTGGTGTGGCCAGAGTATGAAGGTGTCATCTACGTACCTTAACCATAGAGTTGGCTTTAGAGATATAGATTCTAATGCCATTTCCTCAAAGTATTCCATGTATATATTCACCATTGCTGGTGATAACGACGAGCCCATTGCTAAGCCTTCTTCCTGTCAATGTGTGTGATCCCATTCTGAAGTGTGTTGTTTGTGTAAACATGGCGACAAAGATGAGGGCAATAGTCTGAATAATGTAAATAGTGTACATAATACCTTATCTCAGAAATATAGACAGATGTGAAAACTCCCTTTACAATATTTTTGAAATATATACATGAAGGCAAAAGGACTGCAAAATATTGTAACGTTTTGATATTCTTTCTATTAACTTTCCTATCTGCCAATAAATAAAAATTCCTTTAATTCTGGTGTTGGTCATTATTTTCAACAAGTGAATCCCAATAAAGCAGCAAAAAGAAAACTACGACTTGGAGTTTTGTTAAGTTTCACAGGCGTGCCAATCATAAATGGGTGTGGCACAGAGGGAGTGATTGAGAATGTCAAAGGCAGAGAAATGATTCAGATACCCACATCAAAAATTATCCTACATCCTTTTATGGTTCAGTGATGTCAAACTTGAGAAACCATACTCATCAACTGACACCAACATTGAAGAACCACATTTTTTGGTTATCCAATGTTTGGTGTAGGATTCCAACAAGAATCCTGGGTTTGACGTTTCAAATGATGCAATTAATCAAGGATTGTTAAGAAATTGCAATTTAATCTTAGCAGAAATGGAAATTTTGTCTTGACGAATGGGGAAGTGAAGATAAAGAAAATCAGCTGGATTCAAAATAAAAAAAAAAGAAATCAAAGTTTGAGGCAATTGAATGAGTAAACAAAAAAAAAATGTGCTTAGAAGATGCATTCTCATGGGGATTTTATTTTATAGCGTCATCTTCAGAAACATTGGAGCATGATTTAAAAAAAAAAAAAACAAGATCGAACATATTGCATCATTTTGCCACACATTGCAAGAGAAGTAAAAACCTTCAGAACTTTTGAAAGTCTTGCAAATATTGGAAGAATAATATAAATTATAATCGACATAGAATAACCAAACAATGAAAAGCCTTACTAAGCTCCATAGTTGAATTCTGAGAATTTATTTTGATGGAATATATTTTTGGCAAACATTGAAATGAATAGAAACTTTCAGATATTAATCAGTGATAATCCAAAAGTAAGTCAGTACTTTGGCAGATGGTTGATACTATGGCCCCTCCAATGAGGGGTAAGGGAAGAGGTGGTTTCATCTTAATCTCAAGGGTTTCTGTTTAATAGACCAGCAGATAGAAAACTGCACTTCAAAAAGCAGCATCCTCTGACCAAAAAGGAATGGAAAGTGAAGGGGGTGGATAGGCAATTTTTGGAGATCAAGTGACAACAGAACCGGAAATGGGGCATATCTGGAGTGCTGGTCTGTATTAACAGTCGTGCTTGGGATTGGAGAGAGTTTTGGTCCACCCTGAGTGGGGAGAGTTGAATGTTGCCGTCAATCAGT